CCTCCTGAGCAGCTGGTATTACAGGCATGCGCCACCACCCCCGGCTAATTTTGTATTTTTAGTAGAGACGGGGTTTCTCCATGTTGGTCAGGCTGGTCTCAAACTCCCGACCTCAGATGATCCACCTGCCTTGGCCTCCCAAAGTGCTGGGATTACAGGTGTGAGCCACTGCGCCTGGCCCATATTTTCTTTTGAAAAGACTGGGTCTCGCCCTGTTGTTGCCCAGGCTGGAGTGCAGTGGGGAGTTTACAGCTCACTGCAGCCTTAAACTCCTAGGCTCTGAGAATCCTCCTGCCTTGGCCTCCTGAGCCACCCTCCCGGTCCTCACACTGTACTTTTTCCCTGTGGTTTAACGAGCTCTTGTGCCAGCCCTTGAACTTGGAGCCTGGAAGGCTGGGGAGGTCTCTGCCTCAGGGCTCACCCAGCCTTAGTCTCACCTCTCCTGGGGATGCCTCGTTGTCTCCCGAGTTGGGCTCTCATGTTTTAGGGACTATCTCTGGGTTTATCTCAGTCTCTGTTTCAGATTGGGGTCCCTGGTATGGGGGGCCCCAGCATGCCAAGGGGCCTCAGGAGCTGCTTCCAGCCACACTCGGGGTCTCAGGGCCCATCCCACCAGGTTCAGGGTGTGGCTCCCGTGTCCTCCTCCTGCATCTGGGACGCTGTCTGCCTTCAGTTTCTGGGGGAGTGTAGCGACTGGGGCTCAGCCTCCGCAGGCTCAGGGGTCTCGGCCTCCGCAGGCTCAGGGGTCTCGGCCTCTGCAGGCTCAGGGGTCTCAGCCACGGCTCCCTCCCAGGTCTACTTCCCGTACCTGCTCATCAGCAAGAAGCGCTACGCAGGCCTGCTCTTCTCCTCCCGGCCCGACGCCCACGACCGCATGGACTGCAAGGGCCTGGAGGCCGTGCGCAGGGACAACTGCCCCCTGGTGGCCAACCTGGTCACCGCCTCGCTGCGCCGGCTGCTCATTGACAGGTATGTTGGACCTCCTCCCTCAGACCCAGGGTTCCAGGCCCCAGCCCCTCCTCACTCAGACTCAGGGGTCTGGATCCCCAGCACCTCCTCCCTCAGACCCAGGAGTCCAGACCCCCCAGCCCCCTCCTTCCTTAGATGCAAGTATCCAGAACCCCCAGCCCCTCCTCTCACAGGCCCAGGGGTCCAGACCCCCATGCCCCCTCCTCCCTCAGACCTAGGGGTCCAGACCCCCATGCCCCCTCCTCTCTCAGACCTAGGGGTCCAGATCCCCACCCCCTCCTCCCCTGGGAACACAGGTGTCAGGCCCAGCTCTTGCTCGGTGGTAAAGCAGTGGAAAGAGTCGCCTTGGGCAGCTGTGGGTTCAGGCCCTGCCTCTGCCACTCTGCAGCCTGTGGTAGGAAGGGCCCCTCCCTGCCCTGAGCCTCAGCCCTGAGAGCTCATCCTGGTCCCCAGCCCTGAGGCGCCAGCCTGGCCCTGGGCGCCTTTTGGTGACACTGGCCTGTGCGGTCCGCTCTCCCACAGAGACCCTGAGGGCGCGGTGGCCCACGCGCAGGACGTCATCTCCGACCTGCTGTGCAACCGCATTGACATCTCCCAGCTGGTCATCACCAAGGAGCTGACCCGCGCGGCCTCCGACTACGCTGGCAAGCAGGCCCACGTGGAGCTGGCCGAGAGGTCCTGCCTCGGGGCGGGTGGCCCGGCCAGAAATAGCCCCCTCCTTCCTGCCAGCTGGGCCCACCACTTCCTACGCCCCCACCCCCACCCGCGCCACCCACCTGCCCTCACCCACCCGCCGCCCGTCTCCACGCAGGATGAGGAAGCGGGACCCCGGGAGTGCGCCCAGCCTGGGTGACCGCGTCCCCTACGTGATCATCAGTGCCGCCAAGGGCGTGGCCGCCTACATGAAGTCCGAGGTCAGGCCCACCTGGCTGCCTGCTCCCGCCCAGCCCCCTCACTCTCACTTCTGCTTTCCGAGATGGGCGGGCCTGCGGGAAGGGCGGGGCCTCCCCTGCCCTGTGGGGCCCTGAGAACTGCCCCCCCCCACCCCGTGGCAGCCTGGGCGTGGCCTCGGCCCCCTCTGGAGGTCTCCCTCTGTTTTGACACCTCCCTTGGTCCCCTGTGGAAGGGGGTTCCCTTGGATTCATAACCCTCCCACTCTACCCCTACCTGCAGTGACCCACAGCTTAGCCCATGACCTCTGACCTCCTAACCCCCTCCTCATCCTTGCTTCCTCTTGTGAACTCTGACCCTTCTGTGGTGACCTGAGGGCCCCACAGACTCTGTGGCCCAGAGACTCCTTCATGACCTCTGACCCCATCCCAGACCTAGGATCCCCATGTCACAGCCCCTCCTCCGTCAGACCCGGGGGTCTGGGCCCCTAGCCCCCTCCTCCCTTAGATGCAAGAGTCCAGACCCCTTGACCACCCCCAGGCAACTGTCCCTGTGTCTGACCCGGCACCCTTCCCTGGGTGGCCCGGGTGTGACTGCCATGTGGCCGCAGGACCCGCTGTTCGTGCTGGAGCACAGCCTGCCCATCGACACGCAGTACTACCTGGAGCAGCAGCTGGCCAAGCCCCTCCTGCGCATCTTCGAGCCCATCCTGGGCGAGGGCCGCGCCGAGGCCGTGCTGCTGAGTACGGGGCGTGGGGGGAGGGGCTGGGGACATCCCAGGGGCAGGGGAGGGCACTAGCTCACCACCCGCCTCCTCGTCTGCCTCCTTCTTGCAGGGGGGGACCACACACGCTGCAAAACGGTGCTCACAGGCAAGGTGGGCGGCCTCCTGGCCTTCGCCAAACGCCGCAACTGCTGCATCGGCTGCCGCACCGTGCTCAGCCACCAGGGTGAGCCGCCCCGACCACTGCCCCTCGGCCTGCCTCTGCCAGCACCCCCGCTCCTAGACACCCACCACACGGGCTGGCACTGCCACCCAGCAGGCCCCGGGCCCCTAGGCGGTGGCTCCTCTCTGCCCACTCCCCACGGAGGGTCCTCAGCCCCCCACCCGGGGAGTTCCCCAGGGGAGTTTTCCCGGCACACTCGCTCCGTTGTTCTCCAGCCTCCGGGGAGTTTCAGAAGCTGGGATTGGCAGCAGGCAGGGAAGGGGCAGGGATGAGGTGGCCCAGGCCCTGGCTCGGCCCCAGCCCTCGGTGCTGACCCACCTCCCCCGCAGGAGCCGTGTGTGAGTTCTGCCAGCCCCGAGAGTCCGAGCTGTATCAGAAGGAGGTGAGAGGGCCGGGAGGTGAGGAGCAGGTAGGTGGGGAGACCAGGGCGCCCTGTTCAGCCGCTGCCGTCCCCAGGTGTCCCATCTGAATGCCCTGGAGGAGCGCTTCTCGCGTCTCTGGACACAGTGCCAGCGCTGCCAGGGCAGCCTGCACGAGGACGTCATCTGCACCAGGTGTGCGCCGAGGCTGACCCCCGCCTGCCCCGCCCTTCCCGGCTCCCAGGCCTGTGGGTTATGGACCCGGCCTTCTACTCCAAGACCTCTCCCAAGCATCCTCCCTGCCCATCCCCTTCCAGCTGTGAGGTCTCCTGAGCCTCAGTGTCCTTGCCCACAAAATGGACCCATCCCAGCCCCCCAGAGGGGGTGGGTGCTTAGGGAGGCAGGGCCGGCATCCACCCAGTGTTGCCTGGGAAAAGGCTGTCCTCCCGACACACCCGGCCTTCCTGGCCCCCTCCCCAGGGCGGGGCCGGGCTTTCCCCAGGGAACGGGTAGGCGGGGTGGGTTCCCACGCCAGGTGACAGGTGATATACGGCCAGCCCTGGCCTGCACACTGCCGGGCACCCGCTGTTATCGCCTCCCCCATGCCCGCTGAGCAAACAGCCCGCTGCAGGAGGGGGCAGGTGGGCTGGGCAGCAGGCAGGGGCCAAAGTCCTGGGAACAGCCCCCACCCCTCTCCCAGGCTGGGCACTGGGCCTTGGCCCTGACCCTGTCCCCTCCCCACCTGCAGCCGGGACTGCCCCATATTCTACATGCGCAAGAAGGTGCGGAAGGACCTGGAGGACCAGGAGCAGCTCCTGCGGCGCTTCGGGCCCCCTGGCCCCGAGGCCTGGTGACCTTGCAAGCATCCCACGGGGTGGGGCTGGGGCGGGGCCGGTGAGAATGAATAAAGTTCTGGACTTTTGCTACATGGCACTTTGTGGTCTCTGGGGGCACCAGGTCTGGTTTCATAAGCCCTGGGCCTGGCTGCGACCCTCCTGAGGCCCCCACCACACCTCATTCTCAGGAGAAGCCCCCCCGGGTTCCCACCTGTGTTGCCTGGTTCATGTCGGCCAAGCCTGCCTCAGTTTCTTCTCTGGCCCTGAATGAACACTGGCACCAGTACTTCTCTGCCCTGCTTAGGGCCCCCAGGTGTTTGGCCCTGGCCCAGCCCTCCCTGGGGTTGACCCTGGGGACCCCGGTGGCTGCCCCGCCTTCCAGGTGCTGACATGTTTCCTCCAGGCCTTGGGGCAGCCCCAGGCCCCGAGGCTTCCATTCGCAAGCACGGCCAAGAGGACCCCCCCGCCAGGTCATACACCCACGATGTTTCCACATCAGGGTCCTGGCAATGGGCTTCGGGTCTGGGTTTCCCCCCAGCGACTCCCATCTCTATCCCCGCGGCCTCTGACTGCCCTCAGACACCGTCAGTCACCTCACACGTCCCCCGGGGGACAGTCTTCTTGCCCTCGGCCTCCAGCCTGCCCCTGCTGGAATTCAGCTTCTGGGTCTGGATCCTCCCCTTCCTGATTCCCCCCTTCAGCGAACCCCAGCCCTTGACTTTTTCAGGGTGGGACCAAATCCAGCTTCTGTCCCATCTCTACCCTTCAAGGTCAATCCCCCAACCCTAGCCCACGGGGATCCCCAAATCCAGACAGCCCCTGGCCTGCCCTCCTTGCCACGTGACAAAGGGGTTGTGCAATCCAGCCCCCTCCCCTGGCCCCCTCCCTGAGGGGATTTTCGAGGAGGGCCGAGCTTGTGGCCAGCGAGCACCCTCCTCCCCCTGGCAGGGGCTGGGCCAAGATATAAATAGGGGCGGCGGCTGCAGCGGGCTGCACACAGCCCGCCCGGCACCACCATGCTCGCCCTGGAGGCTGCACAGTAAGTGAGGGCCCCCAAACCTGCACTCGGGGTCCCCACCTGCGCTGCTCCTCTGTGGGGCCTCACCCACGGGGAGCGGTCTCTCTGCTCAGGGCAGGTGCGTGGGAGAGGAGGGGAGGGGTCTGCCCTTTTTCCTGCCTCTTTGGGTTCTGTTCCCTCTTCACTTCGGACTCTCCATCCCCTCAGTGCCTGTCTTTCCTGGTCCCCAAAGAGCTCATGTCCTGGGGACACTTGCTAGCGTGCTCTCCTGCAGGCATCCTCCTAGGGTCACTCTGCCGTCTGCGACTCCCGTCTCCCCGGGTCTCCCCGGGTCTGCTCCCTCTGTATCTGGCATCTCCTGGCTCTCTGTTTTCTGCCTGTTGCTCTCTGTCTCTGCCTGTCTCTGTGTCTCTGTCTCCAGTTTTCTCTGCCTTTTCATTTCCTTCTGCCTCACCCTCACCCCCAGTGCGTCCAGTTGGGGCTCCAGGAATCCTCCCTGCCTCTGTGTGTGAATTTGCACACCTTTCTCCCCATCCAACCTCTCCTCGCACCTCCTCATCTGAGTCTCCTTCGGGTTTCCCCCTCTCCACCCAGACATCTCTGCATCCCTCACCTCTGATACAAGCTGGACCCATTTAACTGATTTGCCACCAAGGCCCCACTTGGCCCAGGCCCGCTCTCCATCCCACACCTCCTTTCCGGGGACTTTCTCTCCCTCACTTTCCCTGCTTCTCCCCACCAGGATGTCTATGCAAATTCTGGGGAGGAGGGGGACATTTGCCTGCCCCCTACCCCCCCTACTTCCTGTCCCAGCAGTGGGTAGTGGGGGAGTCAGTGAATGTGGTGGGGCTGGTCCCTCACACAGGGCTGCGGTGGTGACAGCTGCTGCCTCCTCCCCATCAGCCCCCAACCACTTTGAGACTCAGGTGGCTGGAGGCAGCCTTGACATGCCACTGTCTCCCCCCTCCTCCAGGCTTGATGGGCCACACTTCAGCTGTCTGGTGAGTTGGGGCACCTGGGGGCCAGGGAAGGGTGGCCCGTGGTGACCTCCCTCGGTGAAGTCAGTTGCTTCCTGCCTCAGTTTCCCCTTCCGCCTCTTCCTGCCACTTTGTTTCTGAACTCCCCCTTGGTATCTCCCGCCACCCCCATCTGTATCTCCCATGTCTCTCCCCCCCTCAGGCTTGAACCCACTTCCTTGTGATTTCATGTCTCTCTGCCCATCTCACACTCAGCAAACGTGTTTATGTGTTCCTTTCCTTTTTTCTCCGTATTTTTAAATATTGTATTCCGTAATAGTTCAGACACGGAATACTATACCCAACACCCTTGAACCCACAACGCAGTCTGAGAAATCACATCTTACTGATGTGGTTGAAAGAAACCCTTGTTTATGCCCCTCCACATTCACACCCCATCCATGTTTGTTTGTTTTTTTAAATTGAAGTGTAACTTACAAGTCAGTAATGTGACAAATCTTGTGGACCCATCAGTGAGTTTTTGCATTATATATATATATACACACACACACACACACCTTGTAGCCACATGGCAGATCAAGATGCAGAATGTTTCCATCACTCTGGAGCATTCCTTCCTGTCTCTTCTCAGTCAATACCTTTCTCTGGTATTTCCACCACCAATCTGTAATTTGTTTTGCCTTTTTTTTTTGAGACAGGGTCTCACTCTGTCGCCCAGGCTGGAGTGCAGTGGCATGATCTTGTCTCACTGCAACCTCCATCTTCCGGGTTCAAGCAATTCTGCCTCAGCCTCCCAAGTAGCTAGGATAACAGGTGTGCAACACCACGCCCGGATAATTTTTGTATTGTTAGTAGAGACAGTGTGTCACCATGTTAGCCAGGCTGGTTTCAAACTCCTGACCTCAAGTGATCCACCCGCCTCAGCCTCCTGAAGTGCAAAGATTACAGGTATGAGCCACTGTGTCCAGCTGCCTGCTTTTGAACTTCATATAAAGTGAGTCATGCAGCATGTCCCTTTTGGGGCCTGGCTTCCCTTACTCCACATGAAGTGTGTGTCAGGTGTTTGTCCTTTTTCTTTGCTGTATAATACTCCACGATTAGCCCATACCACAGTTTGTTTATCCCTTCGCCTGCGGATGACACCTGAGGTGTTTACAGTTGGAAACTTGTAATAAAGCTGCTGGGATGATTCTGAAACAAGGCTATTTGGTGCACATGCATTTTCAATTCTCTTGATTAAATGCCGAGGAGTGAGACTGCCCCGGCCTAGGCATGATGTGGGCCTAGTTTTAGCTTTTCCTAGACGCGAGTTCTTGAAGCAGCAACACATGATTCTTCGGGAAAATCAACATATGGAGGTTTGTTTATTTATTTGAGACGGAGTCTCGCTCTGTCACCCAGGCTGGCGTGCAGTGGTAGGATATCGGCTCACTACAACCTCCACCTCCCAGGTTCAAGCGATTCTCCTGCCTTGGTCTCCCAAGTAACTGGGATTACAGGCACCTGCCACCAGACCCAGCTAATTTTTATATTTTTAGTAGAGACGGGGGTTTCACCATGTTGAGCAGGCTGGCCTCGAACTCCTGACCTTGGGTGATCTGCCCGCCTCGGCCTCCCAAAGTGTTGGGACGACACGCCTGGGCTGGAGGCTTATTTTAAAAGCATTGAAGCCCTGCCTCTGTGAAGTGAAAAACTTCCATTTCCCCTTGCCCTTTGCCTCCGGAGACCACCAGGCAGACAAGGCTGGGAGAGTACTTCTGCCCCTTCTCCAGGCGCCCTGATGTGCAAACTGTGTGCCAGTGAGGGGCTGGGGTGTCTTGGGAGCCCACTGTCTTAGCAGGAGCTGGCTGCTATGTGTCCCTCTTGGGTTGTCTCTACTCTCTGTATCTGTCTCTTTGTCCCTATCTTTGATGCCTAGTCTCTGTGTCTCTCTGTTGGTCTGTTTCTGATCACTCCAGGTTCCCCTCTTCTCTCCCCTGTCTGTGCTGGAGTCCCCCCAAGGTTCCAGGGTGGGGGTTGGGACTCCCCAAGGCCTGGGATGACCCCTCTTCCCACCTGCACCCTGTATTAGTACCCAGATGGCGTCTTCTATGACCTGGACAGCTGCAAGCATTCCAGCTACCCTGACTCAGAGGGGGCTCCCGGTGAGTGACCCCAGCCCAGTGCCCTTCCTGCCTTGAGGCCCATTTCGCAGATGGGGGAGCTGAGGCCCAGGGGAGGTCATCGCCTAGCACAACAGGATAAAGGTGGCCCAGGCCTATAGCCCTCCTCCCCTTTCCTCTCCCACCCATCCGCTCCCCCATGCAAATCCTGGGGTCAAAGATTTGCACAGCCTACAATGGCCTCTCTGTGCTGGGGGCTTAGCCTGGGAGGAGGCCTCGGTCAGACCTCCCAGCTCCTGACTCAGTGCCCTTCCCCCAGACTCCCTGTGGGACTGGACTGTGGCCCCACCTGTCCCAGCTGCCCCCTATGAAGCCTTCGACCCTGCAGCAGCCTCTTTTAGCCACCCCCAGGCTGCCCCGCTCTGCTATGGACCCTCCACCTACAGCCCTGCAGGGAGCCTTGAACTGGCCCCCAGCCTGGAGGCCCCAGGGCCTGGCCTCCACGCATACCCCATGGAGGACTTTGCCAGCCAGGTGAGTGGTAAGGGGACAGTTAAAATCAAGCCAGCCATGGTGGTGCACGCCTGTGATCCCAGTTACTTGGGAGGCTGAGGTGGGAGGAGGATTGCTTGGGTTCAGAAGGTTGAGGCCGTGGTGAGCTGGGATCACACCACTGCACTCCCGCCTGGGCGAACAGAGCAAGAACCTGTGTCAAAAAAAAGAAAAGAAGGGCCAGGTGCGGTGGCTCACACTTGTAATCCCAGCACTTTGGGAGGCCAAGGAGAGCAGATCACCTGAGGTCGAGAGTTCGAGACCAGCTTGACCAATGTGGAGAAACCCCATCTCTACTAAAAATACAAAATTAGCTGGGTCTGGTGGCGCATGCCTGTCATCCCAGCTACTTGGGAGGCTGAGGCAGGAGAATGGCTTGAACCCGGGGGACGGACGGTGCAGTGAGCCAAGATCGCGCCACTGCATTCCAGACGGGGCAGAAAGAGCGAAACTCTGTCTCAAAAAAGGTAAAAAAAGAAAACTCAAGCTTGGTCATTTGGTTGAGGTTTGCTGGGTGCCAGGCACTGCACTGAGACTGCACATAGTGACCCCTGCAGCCACCTCCCAGGTTCCGTTCCATTTCTGCTCCACTGCACCAGTGAGTCAAGAGAGATAGTGACAGGAAGCCAGGGACAGGGAGGACTGGCTTTATCACTCTTGGGCCTGCTTTAAGGAGGAACCTCAGATGTCCTCTGGCCACAGCATGGTGATCCAAACAAAGGCCAAAGTCCAGGCTGTCAGCAAAGATGGAGACCAGAGCCAGGAGGGCCACCTTGGGGAGAGGAGGGAGTAGAGGGAGAGAAGGGGACCCTGGACGTGCAGGTGACCCTGACCTTCCGCAGACCCTGGGTCCCCCGGCATATGCCCCGTACCCCAGCCCCGTGCTGTCAGAGGAGGAAGACTTACCGTTGGACAGCCCAGCCCTGGAGGTCTCGGACAGCGAGTCGGATGAGGCCCTCATGGCTGGCCCTGAGGGGAAGGGATCCGAGGCAGGTATGCGGGAGTGGCTGGGGTGGGGGAGATGCCAGCTGGAGGTGGGGGAGGGGGCTGAAAGCACCGTGGCTTCCTGGGCTCAGAGCAGCTCCCGGATCCGCACCACCTGCTGGCTGTGTGACTTTGGGTAAGTGCCTCTACCTCTCTGTGCCCAGGTTTCCTGTCTTTACCATAGGGATGGAGGTGATAGTGTCTACCCTCATGAGGTCGTTGGGAGGATTAAACGAGAAAACATGTGTAAATAGGACAGCAGTGCCAGGCACAGAGTGAGTTTTTCAATAAGTCAGCCCCTTCACCATCATTCCCAACACCACAGCAACAGAAATAATCACGCTATCAACCCCAACGGTTCAACCCTTGCCCTGCCCAAGTGCCCGACATCCTTTATGCTCAACCACAGGGAAGCTGGGATCACTTGTTACTTTCTGTGTCTGGACCTCAGTTTCTCATCTGTAAAATGAGTATCATTGTCATCATCCCCATCTCACGGGGTTATGACGGAGATTAAGTGAGCTCATCATTGTAAAGCACCTTGCGAAGCACCTGGCACTACCTGTTCTACAATGGACTGTAAAACTCAACACACAGGTTGGGTGTGGTGGCGCACACCTGTAATCCCAGCAGGTGTGGGAAGCTGAGGTGGGTGGATCACCTGAAGTCAGGGGTTTGAGACCAGCCTGGCCAACATGGCAAAATCCGGTCTCTACTAAAAATACAAAAATCAGGCTGGGCATGGTGGTGCACACCTGTAATCCCAGCACTTTGGGAGGCTGAGGCGGGCGGATCGCCTGAGGTCACGGGTTCGAGACCAGCCTGGCCAAGATGGCAAAATTCGGTCTGTACTAAAAATACAAAAATCAGGCTGGGCATGGTGGCGCACACCTGTAATCCCAGCACTTTGGGAGGCCAAGGCAGTTGGATCACAGGGTCAGGAATTCAAGACCAGCCTGGCCAAGATGGTGAAACTCCATCTCTACTAAAAATACAAAAAAAATTAGCTGAGCACGGTGGCAGGCACCTGTAATCCCAGCTACTTAGGAGGCCAAGGCAGAGAATTGCTTAAACTCGGGAGGCGAAGGTTGCAGTGAGCTGAGATCGTGCCACTGCACTCCACCCTAAAAAAACTTTTTTAATTAAAAAAAATAAAAAAATTAGCTGGGAGTGGTGGTGCATGCCGATAGTCCCACCTACCCAGGAGGCTGAGGCAGGAGAATTGATTGAACCTGGGAGGCGGAGGTTGCAGTGAGTCAAGATCATGCCATTGCACTCCAGCCTGGGCAACAAGATCAAAACTCTGTCTCAAAAAAAATCATTGGGGCATGGTGGTACATGCCTGTAATTCCAGATACTCAGGAGGCTGAGGTGGGAGAATCGCTTGAACCCAGAAGACAAAGGTTGCAGTGAGCTGAGATCGAGTCACTGCACTCCAGCCTGGCAACAGAGCGAGACTTCATCTCAAAAAAATAAATAAATAAAATAAAAAATAAAATAGCAGGGTGTGGTGGTGCATGCCTGTAATCCCAGCTACTTGGGAGGCTGAGGCAGGAGAATTGCCTGAACCCAGGAGGCAAAGGTTGCATGAGCCGAGATCACACCACTGCACTCCAGCCTGGATGACAGAGCAAGACTTGTCTCAAAAAAAATAAAAAATAAAAAATTCAGCCTCATTTAAAAAAATTTTTTTAGAGTTGGCCATCTCTCCAGCTCCTGGTCGCCCAGCCTCTCAGCCCAAAGCGGGACAAGGTCCAGGAGAGGCCAGGGCACCTGACTCCTGGGCTCCTCAGTTTCTTTTCTTTTTCTTTTCTTTTTTTTTTTTTGAGACAGAGTCCTGCTCTGTCGCCCACGCTGGAGTGCAGTGGTGTGATCTTGGCTCACTGCAACCTCCACTTCCTGGGTTCAATCAATCCCTCCTGCCTCAGCCTCCAAAGTAGCTGGGATCATAGGCAACCACACCACGCTCAGCTAATTTTTGTGTCTTTAATAGAGACAGGGTTTCGCCATGTTGGCCAGGCTGGTCTCAAACTCCTAACCACAGGTGATCCACCAGTCCTGGGCTCACAAAATGCTGGGATTACAGACGTGAGCTACTGTGCCCGGCTACCTAGCCTCATTTGTGCCTGAGGAGGCTTTGGTTCAGAGAAGTTAAGTCAGCTGTTTTAACTTAGGATATTTAAGATGGAGAGGACCTCTTCGATGACCAGGAAACACACAAGATGGAAATAAATATTTTATTTATTTTTATTTATTTATGAGACAAGGTCTCCATCTGTCACCCAGACTGAAGTGCATGGCGCAATCTCGGCTCACTACTGCCTGGAACTCCTGGGCTCAATTGATCCTCCTGCCTCAGCTTCCTGAGTAGCTGGGACCACAGGCATGCACCACTACATCTGACTAATTTGTTAAATTTTTGCAGAGGTTAGGTCTTGCTACATTGCCCAGGCTGATCTCCAACTCCTGAGCCTATGTGATCCTCCCACCTCAGCCTCCCAAATTGCTGAAGTTACAGTCATGAGCCACCTCACCCAGCTGGAAATAAGTATTTTATTGCCTATATAGGTCCTGGGGCATACATGGCACGCCTGGAGGCTGCACACACAGGGGTCAGGGAGTGCAGGCAGGGAGGGAGAGAGAGGGACCAGTGGACTGATGCCTTTATTGGGTCCAAGGCAACAGCCAAACAGGTTTCCTGTGGGGGATTTTAATTGGTGGTTCAGGCCGGGAACGGTGGCTCATGCCTATAACCCCAGGATTTGGGAGGCTGAGGCTGGTGGATCACCTAACATCAGGAGTTCAAGACCAGCCTGGCCAACATGGTGAAACCGTCTCTACTAAAAATACAAAAATTAACCAGGCATGGTGGTGGGCACCTATAATCCCAGCTATTCAGGAGGCCTAGGCAGGAGAATCTCATGAATCCAGGAGGTGGAGGATGCAGTGAGCCAAGATCATGCCACTGCACTCCAGGCTGGGCAACAGAGCAGGACTCCATCTCAAAACAAACAAATAAATAAATAGCATAATTGGTGGGTTGAAAGCAAGCAGGATCAAGTTCCAGGAGGTCACACTGTGCCTGAGAGGGGGTCACTGAGGCATCTGCCCAGTCCATGCATGGCCATCAAGTAGGCTGTCCGTGGCTGTCCCACAGGGAGGTGGTCCCCAGGAGGCAGCTGCATAAAGGAGACGTCTGGGTCACCCACACTGAGGAAGTGGGGAGGCAGATCTGGAACTGGAAACCGCCGAGGGGGATGGCCCTGCTTCCAGCATGAGAAAGTCCAACTTTTGTTTTATTTTTTTATTTTTTTAGATGGAGTTTCACTCTTGGTGCCCAGGTTGGAGTGCAATGGCATGGTCTCAGCTCACAGCAACCTCTGCCTCCTGGGCTCAAGAAATTCTCCTGCCTCAGCCTCCCAAGTAGCTGGGATTATAGTCATCAGCCACCATATTTAGCTAATTTTTGTATTTTTAGTAGAGACGGGGTTTCGTCATGTTGGCCAGACTGGTCTCGAACTCCTGACCTCAGGTGATCCGCCCACCTTGGCCTCCTCCTAAAGTGCTGGGATTAGAGGTGTGAGCCACCGTGCCCAGCCTTCAATTTAATATTTTACATGAATGCTGAGGCAGCCTAAAATTATAAGAATTCAAGTGGGGTGCAGTGGCTCACATCTGTAATCCCCGCATTTTGGGAGGCTGAGGTGGGAGGATTGCTTGAGCCCAAGAGTTCAAGACCAGCCTGAGCAACATAGCAAGACCCCATCTCTACAAAAAATAAAACAATTAGCCAGGCATGGTGGTACGTAGCTGTAGTCCCAGCTTTTGGGGAGGCTGAGGCAGGAGGATCACTTAGGCCCAGGAGGTTGAGGTTGCAGTGAACTGTGATAGCTCCACTGCATTCCATCCTGGGTGGCAGAACAAGACCCTGCCTTGAAAAAAAAATTAAGATATCACTATGTTACCACCCCAAGGTCACACTGCTGTGAAACAGCAGAGATGGGATTCTTGTAGACAGTGTCTTGCTTTGAAAACTCCCAGTTATTGGCCAGGTGCGGTGGTGCACGCCTGTAGTCCCAGCACTTTGGGAGGCCGAGGTGGGTGGATCACCTGAGGCCAGGAGTTTGAGACCAGCCTGGCCAACATGGAGAAATCCCTTCTCTACTAAAAATAAGCTGGACGTGGTGGCTCATGTCTGTAGTCCTTGCTACTGGGGAGGCTGAGGCAGGAGAATTGCTTGAAACCAGGAGGAGGCAGCTGTTGTGAGCCAAGATTGCACCACTGAACTCCAGCCTGGGTGACAGAGCAAGACTCTGTCTCAAAAAACAAAAAAAAGAAAAAAGAAATCTAGGAGCCCAGGAGTCAGGTGCCCTGGCCGCCCCGGGGACCCTGTTTCTCTTTGGGCTGAGAGGCTGGGAGACCAGGAGCTGGAGAGATGGCCAGGCCAATGCAAACTGCCTCCAGATCTGTTTGCTTCTCCCTTATAGGCCTTTGAGAAGCGCTGTCAACCCATTTCACAGATTCTTTCATCCGCCGGCTCAACACGTATTGTAATATAACGTGCTGGCCGCAGGGCGGAAGGCAGGACAGATATAAGTCCTGAAAATTAAAGCACAGAACATGGAGGGGGCCTGGGGCTGACAGCTTCGGGTGGGGGGGAGTGACTTGCCCCCCCCCCCCCGCCGCCTCCCGTGGTGAGGTGCGCAGAGCCGGGTGTCTGTAACAGCTACGTCCCTCACCCCACTTCTCAGATCCGGGAGAGATGGAGTCTGGGTGGGAGTCGTGGAGGAGGCTGGGTGGGGAAGGCGGGGCCTTAGGGACCCTCACCTAACGCGTGCCCCCGACCCCACCGCAGGCACCCGCAAGAAGCTGCGCCTGTACCAGTTCCTGCTGGGGCTGCTGACGCGCGGGGACATGCGTGAGTGCGTGTGGTGGGTGGAGCCGGGCGCCGGCGTCTTCCAGTTCTCCTCCAAGCACAAGGAGCTCCTGGCGCGCCGCTGGGGCCAGCAGAAGGGGAACCGCAAGCGCATGACCTACCAGAAGCTGGCGCGCGCCCTCCGCAACTACGCCAAGACCGGTGAGATCCGCAAGGTCAAGCGCAAGCTCACCTACCAGTTCGACAGCGCGCTGCTGCCCGCAGCCCGCCGGGCCTGAGCGCACCGAGGCTCCCACCTGCCGAGCTGCTGGGGTACCTCACACTCCAGCCAGGAACCCCTCGGTAGAAAAAGGGCGTCCCCACAGCCTAGGTGATAGGACTTACGCATCCCCACGTGTTGGGGTGGGGAGAGAGCTGCCCTGCCACAGTCCCCAAGCCCAGCCCGGGCCGTCGGGGATTCCTCACTTGTGCCTGGGGTCCCTCTGGGATTTCTTTATCATGTACGGACTCCCCGGATCCTCATGTTTTGGGTGACAGGACCTATGGACCACTGAACTCCAGCCTGGGAGACAGAGCAAGACTCTGCCTAAAAAAAAAAGAAAAAAAGAAAAAAAGAAAAGGAAAATAAAAAAAGAAACCTAGGAGCCCAGGAGTCAGGTGCCCTGGCCTCTCCGGGGACCCTGTTCCTCTTTGGGCTGAGAGGCTGGGAGACCAGGAGCTGGAGAGATGGCCACTATACTAGGCGAGGCAGGGTGGCAGTTATTCCAGAATCCCAAGAGCTTCTCTGGGATTTTCTTGTGATATCTGAGAACCTGGCGAGGAGACCTGGGACCTTTTTAAGATCCCTGTGTGTGTGTAAACCCTCAGTCTCATCCGGGCTGGGGGCCCTGCAGGCAGCCCTGAGCCCTGTCCAGGGGTCCCTCTTGTCGGATTTGAGATCTCCTAGTTATGTCTGGGGCCCTCTGAGAGCCATTATTGTCTCAGATCTCTTTGCCCATCTATGGCTGTGTTGTGACATCTGTCTCCTCATCTTTGAGATCCCCTAATTCTCTGGAACCATTCTGCTGTCCCCTTTTTATGTGTCTGGAGTTCCCCAATCACAACTAGGGCTCCTCTGAGGTCCTTTTGTCATGTCTGAAATCACTCTTGAGCTGTCTGGGGTGGGGGATGGGGGAGTCAGTGAAATGTGTCTGTCTGGGCCCTGTCAGGGACACCCCTGTTATATCTGGGATCCTCCAATCACATCTGAGACCTCCTAGGATCTCCATCTGATATGCCCTTTAGGGACCCCACCCTTCCTGGTGGCCCTCCCTGTGGCCATGCTGAGGACCACTCTGGCCATGAGACTGATTTCTGGGTGATCATGGAAGCTCCCCACCTATGTTATTTCTTTTTCTTTTCTTTTTCTTTTTTTTTTTTTTTTTTTTTTTTTTTTTTTTTTTTTTTTTTTTTTTTTTTTTTTTTTTTTTTTTTTTTTGAGATGGAGTCTTGGCTGGAGTGCAGTGGCACAATCTTGGCTCACTGCAACCTTTGCCTCCTGGGTTCAAGCGATTCTCCTGCCTCAGCCTCCCAAGTAGCTGGGATTACAGGTGCATGCCGCACGCATGGTTAACTTTTTTTGTATTTTTAGTAGAGATGGGGTTTCACCATGTTAGCCAGGATGGTCTCAATCTCCTGACCTCCTGATCTGCATGCCTTGGCCTCCCAAAGTGTTGGGATTACAGGCGTGAGCCACTGCATCCAGCCCCACCCATGTTATTTCTAATTAGAGGTCTCAAGGTGGTCACCCCCTACCCTGTCCCTGATGGTAGTCTCTTTAGTTCACTGCAGCATGTGGCAGTGGAGGTATGAAGGATCCACATTTACAGCAGACCATCAGCTAGGCACTGGCTCACACCTGTAATCCCAGCACTTTGGGAGGCCGAGGCAGGGGGATCGCTTGAACCCGGGAGTTCAAGACCAGCCTGGGCAACATAATGAGACCTTATCTCTACAAAACAAGAAAATTAGCTGGGCATGGTGGTGCACACCTGTGGTCTCAGCTGCTCAGGAGGCTGAGGCAGGAGGATCGTTTGAGCCCAGGAAGTTGAGGCTGTGGTGAGCTGTAATTGTGCCACTGAACTTGGCCTGAGTGACAGAGCCAGACACTGTCTTAAAAACAAAAAACAAACAGCAGACCATTCAAAATAGGGAGACTTTGCATAACGCAGATTTCTTCCTTCACTTAAAACTTTGGATGATCTGGAGAGAGTGGGATAGTTTTCGGTGAGGGGTGGGGAGCTGGAACAGGGCAGTAGCCTGTCTTAATGGAGTATTTGTTCTGCAATCTACCCCAGTGGCTGCCATCCCTGGCTGTCTTACCCCAGCAGCTTCTGAAGCCTGTTTGTGTTAGAACATGAAGCCTGGATGGGCTGTGGAGTGCTGGTTTGGACCCCCAGGGAGACAAAGGCTGTCAGCCAAGAGGCCATAGGTCCTTGAGCCCGGGGAGGGGGGAATGGGGGGAAGGGGGTGGGAGGTGGGTAGGTCGATCTAGGGTGAATGACTCGCTCCTTCCCAACCTCAGTTTGTCCCTTCTGTGAAAAAGGGAGAAGGAGGAAGATCTCAAAAAGCCCTTGTGGCCCAGTGGAGTGGCTCACGCCTGTAATCCCAGCACTTTGGGAGGCTGATGCAGGTGGATCACCTGAGGTCAGGAGTTCAAGACCAGCCTGACCAACATGGTGAAACCCCTGTCTCTACCAAAAATACAAAATTAGCCAGGCGTGGTGGTGCATGCCTGTAGTCCCAGCTACTTGGGAGGCTGAGGCAGGAGAATCACTTGAACCCGGGAGGTGGAGGTTGCAGTGAGCCGAGATCTCGCCCTACACTCTGGTCTGAGCAACAAGAACAAAACTCCTTCTCAAAAAAAAAGCCTTTGCAGACCTGTTGAGCCTTTGACACATCACCTGAAATCCACCCCACTCCCGGGAGGAGGAGGAGGACGATGAGGAGGAAGAGGAGGAGGAGGGAATACTAGTGACCCAGAGACAGCAGACTTCCATGTGGAGGCACACAGTGGCTGGTGGCAGAGCCGAGGCTGGGACCTGCCCTCAAGAGAAGGAGTGGGGAGGCGGAGGGAGGAAGGGCGGGCAAAACGTCCTCCCCAGGGCCCCCTGCAACAAAGAAGGTACTTTTTATAAAAGCTATCATTGTCACCCTAAATGTAGAATAAAATAAGACAAACTGAAGTAGACAGACCTCCTGGGACCTTTTGTGAGGGACTGCAATCCCGCCCTTCCACTGGGACCGCGGGCTGTCAGAGAGCCGTCACGGGCGTTCAAAGAGACAATTACATGCTGGCGCGGTGGGTGGCTCCATAATCCCAATACTAATCCCAACACTTTGTGGGGGCCGAGGCAGGAGGATAGCTTGAGTCCAGGAGTTCGAAACCAGCCTGAGCAAGACAGTGAGCGGCCCCCCCCCGCCCCCCGCCCACCCGTCTACAAAAAATACAAAATTAGCCGGGCGTGGTGACGTATGCCTGTAGTTCCAGCTACTCTGAACTTCTGAGGTGGGAGGATCACTTGAGCACAGGAAGTCGAGGCTGCAGTGAGCGGTAATCCTGCCACTGCCCTCCAGCCTGGGCGACAGAGCGAGACCCTGTCTCAAAAACAAACAAAAAACGCAAAGACATCATACAGCAACACCTGTCTGAAACTTGAATGCCGAGAAATAAGAGGCTTGACATGCAGGCACAGAGTGTTCCGTTTGTTTTATGTCTTTCTCTCTTCCTGCCAATTGAATTTCTCCACCTCCTCCCGGCTTCCCCTTCCTTCTGGGTCTCTGTCCCCTGCCCTCCGAATTGAGCCCTCGGGCTGGCGGCGCGGGGGCGGGGGAGGGGCTCCAGGTGGCCGAGCCACTGCAGGCCCGAGCCCCTCCCCAACTTCGCGGGGCTCTCCGGAGCGCCGTAGCAGTCTGCCTGGCAACCCGTGACATCACACGGGGCTGACGTCGGATTGGCTGATGCTCCCTGGAGGCGCAGAACTTTCCGGCTCGTAGGGGGTTTTGGAAAAGGAGGGGTGGGAAGATGAGTAGGAAGAAAGAGAGAAGGGACTTGGTTTTCCTCACACTGGGTCCCTCGCGCCGCGTTACTAGCCAGGTGGTACCCCGCGTTAACCCTAAGTCCTCAGCACCCTTTCCCTCCTTCCCCCCCACAACACCTGGTGTCCCCAAGCCCCGCCCTCCACAGGCCCCGCCCCCTCGGCGCCCGCCGCGTCCGGCGCCTCCCCATTCAGAAAGTCGCAGGTCTCCCGCCGGGAAGGGCGCCAGCGTCCGGGCAGCCCTCCAGGGCCTTCCCAGCCTCCCGCCCGCCCCCGCCGGGGACGCCTGCCCCCTACCCGCGTCGGGTGCCCGCTCCGGGAACAGTCGCGGGGAGCGGTCCCAGTCCGCGTCCCAGGTGGCCGGGGCCCAGGCCTTCGGGTTTGCCTAGGCCTGGGCGCGAGACTCCGGAGTCCCAGAGCCCCGGCGCCCTTCCCGGAGGCACAGGGACCTCCTCCCCCCTTCGCCGTCCTGCCTACGCTGGGAAACCGGACCCTCCCTCCCGGCTCCGGTTTCCCGAAAACTCCTGACTTGCAGATGCTAAGAATGGCTTCCTAGACCCTGTTCCTCCCCGCCCTACTTCATGCCAGAGCTCTGGCCCGCAGCCCTTGCCCCCTGGAGACTCTCGATCTCTTCCTCTTCCTCCTCCTGGGAGCCAGGCGTCCAGGCGCTCCTTTCTAGAAAACCCAAGAATCTGGGACCCCGGTTGCTTCTGCTCCCAGACTCAGGGGTCCAGGCACCCAGCCCCCTCCTTCCTGAGACCCTGGATGTCCGAGCCCCAGCCCCCTCCTCCCTCAGACCCAGGTGTCTGAGCCCCAGCCCTTCCTTCTTGGGGACCTGGCTCTCAGCCATCTCTCTTGGTCCAGCTGTTATTTCTCGCCCTTTAGAACATGCGGGCGGAATGTGGGGCGGCCCCAAGGTCTGAAGCCTCCTGGAGCCTTCTGGGAGTCTCAGGACTCCTTAAAAGGCTCCCCCTGGGGGCCCACCTGTCCTCCCTAGGGCTTATCAGGACGCAGCTGCGGTCAGAGGAGCGGGAGGAGGTCCTCCAACATGCCTGAGGCAAAACCAGGTGGCTCCAGGACCCCCTCCCTGTGTGGGGATGGATGGGGTTCTTCTTTTCTGAATGGGTATTTGGGACTTGTAAGGTTGGGAGAAGGAGGGACCTTCTCTGTGTGAAGAGGAGGCTCCCTTTTCTGTGTGGAATGGGGGTTCCCGTGTGTGTAGGGTGAAGGTCTCGGCTCTGCATGGGGAAGAGGGTCCCCTTCCCTTTGTGACAGGATTTTCCTTCCTTGTATGAAATGGGGGTGGTCTCATATCTGTGTGGGATGAGGGATCCCTTCACTCTGCAGGTAAGTGATTACTTGTAAGTGATTGGGGGGACCCATCTCTGGTGGAGATGGGGTTGTAAATTGGATTCCTTTTGCTTGATGAGGATGGGGGTCCTATGTGTGTAGACTGGGGAGGTCTTTTTTTTTTTTTTTTAGTTGGAGTTTTGCTCTGTCGCCCAGGCTGGACTGCAGTGGTGCAATCTCGGCTCACTGCAACCTCCACCGCCCGGGTTCAAGCAATTCTCCTGCCTCAGGTAGCTGAGATTACAGGTGTGCGCCACTATGCCTGGCTAATTTTTGTATTTTTAGTAGAAACTGGGTTTCTCCATGTTGGCCAGGCTGGTCTCGAACTCCTGACCTCAGATGATCCACACGCCTCGGCCTCCAAAAGTGCTGAGATGGCAGATGTGAGCCTCTCAGTCTACCCAGATTGGGAGGCCTCTTCACGTAATTGGGTTCTCCACATTCAGGGATGGCATCCTCCCTGCAGGGTCTGGGCCACTTCTTAGAGCAAAGACTCAGAGGGGGCCATGTGCAGTGGCTCACACCTGTCATCCCAGCACTTTGGGAGGCCGAGGCAGGAGGATTGCTTGAGACTAGGAGTTCAAGACCAACCTGGGCCATATGTAGAGACCTTGTCTCTACAAACAGTTAAAAATGAACCAGGTGTAGTGGTACATGCCTGTAGTCCCAGCTACTTGGGAGGCTGAGAC